CCACCGACTCTCGTCCAATTCCAATTTTTTCGCCCAGAACGAGGCTTTTAGTGGCAATTTCCCATCAACCCGAGGGTCTTCAGGGACTTTAGAAATATGGCACAGCCAGGTGATCAGCTAAGGGAAGTAGTGGCCCTTGGTTACCTCAGGTGATCTAATGAACATCTCTTCATGGATGAGCCAGGCCACATCAAATCACTGTGGGACATGCATTAGTGGATTGCGGATGCCCGTGGTAGATTAACATCTGTCGTGTTGCTGGATGGAAACAATCGACTGTTGACAATGGTGAGCCAACACTTAGCCTCCCAATTCAGATAGTGGGAGTTGAGAGTAATCATGTGCTTGATCCATAGGTGTTCTCCGTCAGGCACACAGATAGTATTAAGAAGAGTTCCCCACAAGGCCCGTGTACCGCTAAAAGTACGATAAGGATTAAATTCACCCCGAAACACAAGCAGTCTGTATACCTTGCGGATGGTGTCGAGGGATGCGTTTACCGGGGTATTACGTACCATCACAACCCCATTCTCATGTTCTTGCAAGTTTGCATAAAACTCCCTTACTAGTTGAACATTAGCCTCCTCCGGTACCTCAAAGAAGATGTCCAGCTGACACCGCCTCAGCTCATTAAACATATTGGGGCATTCCACCTCCAAAGTCGTGCGATCAATGTGCACCTCATGTTGTAACTTCTTAGCTGCTTTCTGGTTGTACCTATCCTCCGCTTCTCTAGATACAAACTGAGTGCTATCGAACTGAGGTGCACTGGCTTGGCTCCTAGCTCGTGAGGAGCCTCCCGATCTACTAGTGGAGGGCCCGATGTTTTGTCTCTTTCTAGCTGAACTCATTGCACCTGTCAAATAACGAAACGCCTATTAGTGAGTGCGCAAAATATGTGACTATGGATGCTTACTCAGACTTCACCATAACTATGTCACAATAGCTCCTTATATCTCCATTGGGTCAATTTCCCAAACACCTTGTGGGCGGGGAATTATCCAAACACATTTAGCCCTCATGAGTCTATCAAAACTCCTCCCAAATCAAGTATACAACTACATCAACATACTCCACACTTGTGTCATTCAATCACCCACCAACAAACATCGTTCCAAACATTAATTACACAGTCCCTTCACCAAACATTTTCATAAATGAAATTAAAATAGAAAAAACAAGGAGAAGAAACTACAAAAAAAATCTACTACAATTACAACACCATATCAACCTCAAACTATCATAAACAACAACAAAATATAAAAAGAAAAGAGAAGGGAGGGTTAGAATCATACCTTATGGGAGGAAAGAGGAGAGGAATGGAGATGAGGGGTAGTGTGAGTGAAGAAAAAGAACAAGAGGAGAGGAATTGAGGAAGTTAGAGTTTAGAGAGATAGAGATGGAGAAATTTGGGGGAGGGGGATCAGGTAATGTAAAGTTAGGAGGGGGGTTGGGTTTTAAAATTAAAAGAAGAAGAAAAGAAAAAACAAAAAAAAATTCAAGATACCTCGTACCCCCGCTGTCGACCATGGCCGCGGTGTGTTTAAAAAATTGAGGCAGAATGTTTACACCTCACCGCGGTTTACCGCGGTCCACTACGGTCGCAATGGATGAAAAATTCGAGGCAGAATGTTTGCCTTCCACCGCGGTCGCGTTGCTAGCGCTGTTTTTTTTAAGTTACATGAACACACTAATCAACACACTCGTGGGTTGCCTCCCACGCAACGCATGATTTAACGCCGCGGAACGATGCAAGCATATGATCATCACTCCTCATCCGCGTAGTGGGGCTCTGTCAAATGGATTACCACTCTATCCCCTTTTTCTTCAGCCATTCCAAGGTAATGTTTCAACCTTTGCCCATTTACTGTGAACTTTTTTGTCCCATCTTCTGATTCAATCTCTACAGCTCCACTTAAGAATATTTTCACCACTCTGAAGGGTCCTGACCATCGGGACTTTAACTTACCTGAAAACAATCTCAACCTCGAGTTGTATAACAATACTAGATCTCCGGGTTTGAAGTTTCGATCCAAGATGTGTTTATCATGCATTAATTTCATCCTTTCTTTGTATAATCTAGTACTCTCAAAGGCCTGGAACCTGAATTCCTCGAGCTCATGTAACCCAGTGATTCTGTTAGTACCTGTTGTCTCCATGTTTAAGTTTAACTGCCATAATGCCCAAAGTGCTTTATGCTCTACCTCAATTGGGAGGTGGCATGCCTTGCCAAACACCAACTTGTACGGTGACATACCAATTGGGGTTTTGAAAGTTGTGCGGTATGCCCACAATGCATCATCCAATTTCTTTGCCCAGTCAATCCTTGTTGCATTCACTATTTTTGTGAGGACACTTTTAATCTCCCTGTTGGACACTTCAACTTGCCCGCTCGATTGTGGGTGGTACGGGGTGGTCACTTAATAACGAACTCCATATTTTTCCAACAGCCGTGCGAATGCTCTATTGTAGAAATGGGTTCCGCCATCACTGAGTATAGCTCTTGGGGTATCAAAATGTGTGAAAATGTTCTTCTTTAGAAAGCCTAGTACCCCTTTAGCATTATTGGTCGGAAGAGCCACTGCTTCGACCCACTTGGAGATATAGTGAATTGCTATCAATATGTACTTATTACCATACAAGCTGACGAATGGCCCCATGAAGTCAATCCCCCACATGTCAAAAATCTCCACCTCTTGAATTATGGTCATTGGCATCTCGTGTCTACGAGATATGTTGCCAGTTCTTTGGCATTCATCGCAGCTTTTAACCCAAGCATGGGCATCCTTGAATAGAGTAGGCCAGTACAAGCCTGACTCCAACACCTTAGTTGCTGTCTGAATTCCTCCAAAATGTCCACCATATGGTGAAGCATGGCAAGCCTGCAAAACAGAATGTTGATCTTTCTCAGGGATACACCACCGGATCATGTTATCTACACATATTTTAAACAATAGAGGTTCATCCCAATAATAATACCAACAATCACGAAAGAACTTTTTCTTTTGTATTGAGGAGAGTTTATAAGGTACAATACCACTTGCTAAATAATTAGCAATATCAGCATACCATGGTGCCTCCTCCGTTGTCATTGCCAGTAATTGTTCATCCGGGAATGTCTCTGTTATATCCTCAACCTCTACCTTTTTTTCAGCTCCTTCCAACCGTGAGAGATGGTCAGCTACTTGGTTCTCTGTCCCTTTTCTGTCACGTATCTCTAGATCGAATTCTTGCAACGGAAGAACCCAGAAAATCCAGCGTGGCTTTGACTCCTTCTTTTCTATCAGGTACCTAATTGCTGCATGGTCAGTGTAAACAATAACCTTCGAGCCAATCAAGTATGACCTGAATTTGTCGAATGCAAAAACAACAGCCAAAATCTCCTTTTCCGTCACAATGTAATTGAGTTATGCTCCGCTTAGCGTTCTACTTGCATAATAAATCAGTTGCATCAGTTTACCCTTTCGCTGCCCCAAGACTGCTCCTATGGCATAGTCAGTTGCATCGCACATGAGCTCAAATGGTTGCTCCTAGTTGGGTGCAACAATGATGGGTGCAGTCACCAATCTCTTCTTCATCTCCTCAAATGCCAACTTGCAATCATTAGAAAACACAAAGGGGTGATCCTTTTCAAGGAGTTTGCATAATGGGTTAGCAATTTTGGAGAAATCTTTCATGAATCGCCTGTAGAACCCGGCATGTCCAAGGAAACTTCTCACCGCCTTGACTGAAGTGGGCGGTGGTAGTTTTTCAATCACGCCAACCTTAGCATGGTCGACCTCAATTCCTTTACTGTACACTCGATGTCCCAGGACTATCCCTTCCTGTACCATAAAATGGCACTTCTCTCAGTTCAACACTAAATTTGTCTCCACACATATTTTGAGCACTCTTCTTAAGTTGTGAAGACAGTCTTCGAATGAATCTCCCACCACAGAGAAATCATCCATAAAAACCTCTATAATATCCTCCACCATGTCTGTGAAAATGGATAACATGCACCGTTGAAATATCGTTGGTGCATTGCAAAACCCAAAAGGCATTCTCCGAAAGGCGAAGATGTCATATGGACAAGTGAAGGATGTTTTCTCTCTATCCTCGGGGGCTATTAATATATGATTGTACCCCGAATATCCATCCAAGAAACAGAAGTGTGATCGCCCGGTCAGCCTGTCCAACATTTAGTCAATGAAAGGCAAGGGGAAGTGGTCCTTCCGGGTGGTTGTGTTCAATTTTCGGTAATCTATGCAAATCCGCCATCCCGTGACTGTACGAGTTGAGATCAACTCATTGTTCTCATTTTGCACAACAGTCATTCCCCTCTTTTTTGGAACACATTGGATAGGGCTGATCCAATTGCTATCAGATATGGGGAAGATGATTCCCGCATCTAACCATTTGATGACTTCCTTCTTTACTACCTCTTTCATGTTCGGGTTCAGCCTTCGTTGTGTTCTCTAGAAGGTTTGTGTCCTTCTTCTAAGAGAATCTTGTGCATACAGAAGGCTGGGCTGATACCCTTTATGTCTGCCATGGTCCAGCCAATGACAGTCTTACTTTCCTGCAGTACCTGTAAGAGATGTTCTACCTGCACATCTAGCAAACTGGATGATATAATAACAGGCAAAGTAGAATCAGGGCCTAAGAAAATGTACCTGAGATGAGCTGGGAGTGGCTTCAGCTCCAGCTTAGGTGGTTTCTCTACTGATGGCTTTGCTGGAGGTGTAGCCCTTTTTTCTAACTCAAGGGACTCGAACTGAGGTTCCTTTTTCCAGAATACTTGGCCTCAAGTGCCATGACCCACTCAGCTAACCCTTCACCATCCATCTCTTCTAAATTTGTCAGACATGCCTCCAATAGATCTTTAGCAGTTAGGGTCACATCATCTTCTTACAGGATCACATCCACTACCTCCACTAGAGAACAATTAGCATATTCACTGGGTCTCCTCATAGATTGTTGAACATTGAATATGACTTCTTCATCGTTCAGTCTCATTTTTAATTCCCAGTCTCACAATCGATCAGCCTAGTGGCCAAAAATGGCCTACCTAAAATGATAGGTATCTCCTCATCTACCTGATAATCCAAAATAACAAAGTCTGCAGGGAACACGAACTTCCCCACTTACACTAACACACCATCAAGAATCCTAGTAGGCCTTTTTACCGTGCGGTCAGCCAGCTGCAGCAGCATCGAAGTCGGTCTAGCTCTGCCAATGCCCAGTTTGGCGTATACAACCAGATGCATCAAATTTATGCTGGCTCCCAAATCACGTAATGCCTTTGCAAAGGCATAACTCCCAATCGTGCATGGAATAGTGAAGTTACCTGGGTCTGACATCTTTTGAGCCATCGGTTTGGTCACTACTGCGTTGCAGGTCTGCGTCAGAGTCACTGTGGATAGGTCCTGAAAATCAAACTTCCGTGACATTAAGTCTTTCATCATCTTCGCATAACCTGGCATCTCCCTCAAGGCCTCAATTAAAGGAATATTCAACTGAATTTGACGTAGCATCTCCATAAATTTCTTGTATTGATCTTCCTTCCTTTGTTTTACCAGTCTCTGAGGGAATGGTGCAGGTATCACCCTTTGTGCACTGCTTGCTGGCTTCTCTCTGTTGGGGTTCTGTGGCACAAGAGGCACCACCTGTTCTGCAGCTTGTTCATTTACCTTAGCCTTACCCTTTTCATCTTGACCCTGTTCAACCACCACTTCAGTCAAATTTGATGGCTCATCTACCTCTAGTGGAATTGGAGTGGCTGGCGCAGTCTCTTTTCTGGCTTGTGCAACCTCCTTCTCTTTGTCTAAATCTCTCCCATTCCGGAGATTTACTGCCATCAGCTGATTTGGGTTTTGCTCCTTGGGGTTAATATTTATGTCCGCTGGAAATGTTCCTTGGGGCGGTTTTTTAAAGCCATAGACAACTGCCCCAACTGAGTTTCAATGTTCTTTATAGCTAAATCATGTATTGCCAACTTTTCTTGCATCTTGCCATTTGTCCCAATGAGTTGCTAGAGCATCCCTTTGATCTCTACCATGTTGTTATCTTGCTGCTGAGGAGGTGGCTGATATGTCAACTGTTGTTGGTTCTGCTGTGGGTAGCCCTGTTGTCTCTGGTGGTATGACACCATTTGGCCTTGAGCTTGCATGCCCCCAGGCTGAGGCATGTTGGGTCTGTATTGCTGATCTGGTGCCGGTCTCCACTGCTGTCCTCCTTGTCTCTGACCCCCAAAGTTGTTAACATAATTCATATCTTCCTTTTCCCCTTGATTTTAACCTTCTTCGCTCCATGAACACACATAAAACTGATTAACACAGGGTGTACACAGTACTCAATTAGTCGTGTCAGCAATATGCACCTGTATGGTACCCATCTCATCCATCTTCTTTGTCAAAATACTCATCTGAGTCATGAGTATGGCCATGTTCTCTGCATGCAAATTATTTGGGTCAAGAGGAACTGAATGCACTATGGGTGCCAGTTTTGTACCTCTAGTCATCCACCCCGAATTCTGGGGCATCTTGTCAAGAAGGACTTTGCACTCGGTGAATGTCTTACTCAAAAATGCACCTCCAGCTGAAGCATCCACATTGGCCTCTAGATTGTCAACTAACCCCATGTAGAATCTCTGGCCAAGCATCTGGTCTGGAATGCCATGGTGAGGACACTTCACCAGCATCCCTTTAAATCTTTCCCAAGTTTTTTGCAAGGTCTCAGTCGGCTGCTACTTGTACTGCAATATTTCATCAATCTGCCTTGCAGTCTTGTTGGGCGGGTAGAACTTATTCAGGAACTGCTTTACTAATTCCTCCCAGGTGACAATGGAATTGATTGGGAGCGAATTCAGCCAAGTCTGAGCTTCCCCAGTCACAGAGAACGGGAACAGTAATAGCTTGATAGCTTCTGGGGTCACATTTGGCTGCCTTTGAGTCACACAAATTAACAGAAAATTTTTCAAATGTTGTTGAGGGTCTTCAATGTGTGACTCGGAGAACAATCCTTTATTCTGCAGCAGATGCAGCATGTTGTTGGTGATCTGGAATGTCTCCGCTTGAATTGCGGGCACAGCTATGGCAGTTGCCAGGTTATTAGCTATGGGTTGAGCCCAATCATAAAGTGCAGTGGCACAAGAGGTGCCACCACTCTGACGTTTGGGTCAGCTGGCTCATCCCTGATGTTTCTGTTGACGTTCTCTACCTCACCCATGTCAATTTCAAGCTGGTGTGGTTGTTGTGATTGTTGGATCCTCTTGTTGGCACGGTGCAATGCCCTGAATGTTTTCTTGGGGTCTGAAAGTCCTTCAAGTAGTTCTCCAGTCCTCGAAGAATACACCTGAATTCCACAAGAGTTCAAACGTTAGAATTTCAATGAAAATTGTTTAACACCTTTGAAAATTGATTTGAACTAATAATTTTAACACTACTTCTAAGTTGTAATAAACAACACCGTTAGTTCCCCGATAACAGTGCCAAAATTTGATAACGCCCAACTATGCCTTTTAAAGGACAAAGCGATCGCTGCAAATATAATCTAGTTTTAAGTCCGGAATCGAATTCTCAGGGAACTAACCTATCTATTACACTCTACGGCAATGTTATTATCAACTCAATCAATCTCTAGATGCAAGATTTTTGATCAATAAAGATTGAGTTTTTGTTTAACTACTTCAACTACTATTAAAAATAACAGTAAGCTAAAACAAAGATAATTCAATGGTAAAAAGGTCTAGGGCAATGATTTTCCCAATTGCTAGTTTAGGTTTCGACTCTTCCACTATAATCTCACCGTAATACTCGATGAGGATTAAGAGTTTTGGGTTATTGTAATTATCTCTCGATCAATTACAATAATTTACTAGATCATTCTCTCGAACTACTTTAGCTGACAATATGTGTGCAACTCTAAATTATCCCACCAAAGTTCTGTTATCTCTAAACCCACTTTTAAGTTCAAGTAATGAATCTCTTCAATTACCCAAAAGTGGTGTTGTTCAACAACTGTCTAATCTAATACTCTTTCTCAAGCAATGTAAGGTAATTAGACACGATTAATCAAGGGCCCATTCAATTAATCACCATACAAAACGTAGTTGAACAATCATATTATAAATCCGGCTTGATTATAACAACTTGAGTCAAAACTTCAACCAACAATTGGTTCCATCAACCCTAGATAAGTGTTTAGCTACTCATAACAAAATAAGAGAAAACTACTAAATTGTTCATAATGTAAAATTGCAAGAATTAAAAGGAGATAGAAAAACTTTAATGTTTGATTGATCTTCTCACTCTTGTTCTTGCTCCAAAAGTAGTCTAAAATCAGCTTAGCACAATCTTGGGTGAGTTTCTAAAGCATATAAGCGTTTTACAAAAGTTTTCCCGATTTTACACTTTGGTCCTCAAACTTTCCAGCAGCGTGAACAGTGCACCGCGGTCGCGGTCAATCGCGGTCGACCGTGGTGAATGCTGACCTTTCTGCCTTACGTTGTTAATCTACCTCGGTTCACCACGGTCACGGTGGCCTTCTTGCCCAGGTCATTTATGCTTCTTTGTGTTCGGGTACTTTTCGAGTGGGCGTTTTTCTTCACATTATCGCCTCCAAAGCACTCCATGTTGCTTCCTCTCATATAATATTCCCTGCTAAACAAAAGAACACTATTTAGAGCATTTTTGTTGGCAATTTATCTATAAAACAACAACGAAATATGGTCATATTAAGGTGTAAATATCAACTATATAGCCTACTATCAGCCAACCTCTTATGTACCTTTCTCTTTTTGTACCTCAAAAAGAGGGTCCTCTTTATGATGCTACGGACGGTTGTCTGAAGTGCAAAGGTTAAACTCATAGTCGATATGATAGGATTGTTCATACTAATATTCCTAATATATTGGTCTTTGATTTGAACGGTGAAGATTGAATTTAGAGGCTTGTACCATCCGATTGAACCTTGAACAACGGTTTCGTCTTGGGTGATTTCACTCAATTCTTCAATTGATTTATTGTTGTTCTAGTTGCTATTATTTGCTTCGTATTTGGCACTTATTGTATAGTCAATTTAAAAACTTTTGTAATCATTTTATTGTTATAGTGGAGTTTTTTTGAATCTCTTTGATCACGTGATTTTTATCCTGAAAATGACTAAAAATTTGATTTATGTGCATCACAATCTAAATAAATTTCTATGTCATCAAACCACCTAAATCACTAATAACAACCCATTATAATAAGAATATATAAAAGTTAAATTCATATAAATATAATTGCGTCATGTATTTAAGACAATGCGCATGACGACTTGACGTAGGCCAGCTGATAATGGTGGTAGTTGATATTTGGTGAAGGTGGAGATATACTAATAAATTACTACCCTCTTTTTTCTTATTTCTTATTCGACGTTTGATATCTGATTTGGAGTCCGACTAATTTAGATTCATATTAAAAATTTTACTTTATGTGTAAAACGTTTCTGATTAAAATTAATTTCATACTTAAGGCTCGAACTCGAAATTTTTAATTAAAGATGAAAAAGTACTTATCACTTCGTCAGACGAGCCGTTATGTTTGATTGATGTCATTTATTCATTGGACTTACTAATTCTCATGCTAACTAGTCTAATACACTTTCTTATTATTTTTTTTCTTTTTCTCGACCACGCCAATCTCATGTAAATACAACCTGGAACGATTTATTAGGTTGGGGCTGATGCCAGGCGCCTTGTTTAGTGGTATATTACACCTTTTAAAAACTCATGATAATGCAGTCTCCAATCTCCCAATTTTGCCAAGTCTTAATTGAAAATAAAATAAAGAATTTCAAGTATTTTGCTGAAGAAAAAAAGGAAAAGAATTAGGGTAAAGGACACGTGAAGCACGTGTACAGACGCCACATGTTATCATCTGATTACATCTGTTTATTTGTCATCTTAGGATAGTATTAAATGCACTCTGAACAAATACAGAGAGGTAGTCTTTGATTATTTTGAATTTCTCATTTTGTACATGGTAGAATCCTTTAGTTACCCCAAATGATGTGGTGCAGCGGATGTGACTGCTCTTCCCTTAATTAGAGGTCTCGGGATCGAGTCCTGGATATGAAAAAATTCTTGGTATGAAGCGCTTTTCCCCGAATGGAGTCCAACGCGGCACGAATTCGTATATAGTCGGGCTCCAATGTAGGTACCGAACACCGGATGGAAAACAAAAAAAGAATCTTTTAGTTGATTTGATTTATTATTTTAAGAAAAGGTCAGTATAGTTGAACAAATACATAGTTTAAAGTGAAATATGATGATAATTGGAATTGATTATGCAAAATGTAGGGTTATATGTGTTATCAAATTAACCTTCACTTCACGTACTTTGCACAAAGCTAAAATGTAGATGAAGTATGGATTGTTTTGCGATAGTATACAGCCTACTAGTGATACTATTTACTTTAAATTTAAGTTTGACTTTTAAATACTGATTAACGTTTAACACTTGTTTTTTATACTTATTGCTTCTCGTTTTTTGTTGATGGAAGATTTGAATATATATTTTTATCATTAATTATAACCAACTCTAATTTATTTGAGATTAAGACGTATGAGCAAGCACTCGTTCTCCTATGAGATCTGCATGGGATGATATTGTACTAAAGTCATGCTTCTTTTTTAGTTTATTTCCCGGTGGCAGTAATTTGTATTGAGATCTTAACTAATTCAAATTTATGTAAGTCTCGCTAAAGAAAAAAGTGCTTCCTACCATAAATTTTTTCGCACACAGATTTCGAACCTAAAATGTCCGATTAAGAATAAAAATATCCTACTCATTTCACCGTAGTCCTTAATAACAAA